GGCAGCCCCAATTTGCTCCAGAGACTTTAAACGCTGTCACCCTGCATTTAACTCCTGCCTGACTGCCTCATTCTTTCCAGGACAAAGGGAGTTTAACAGTGAGCCCTCCCCCAGGGTTGAGTGCATGACCTCAAGCCTTGCAGAAGAGGCCAAGAGTCTGAGCTGCTGTCTGTGACTGGTCTTCACTGGGTGTGCACCAGGTGAGCTGGCCTGGGCCTGAGTCATCAGGTTGGCACTAGGGGACATGTGGGTCCCCAGAGATCCAGACTGTCACTCCTCACAGTGGCGTGAAGGAAAGGGAGTGGGTAGATAAGAGGCTTGCTCATGGTCACATGGGCTGCTCCATCTGACAACCCCAAAGCCCATGCTCTTGGCCACTTGGATGAACTCAACCCACCCCCACCCCACTCCCCAAGGCATTAAAGACACCAGAGAAACCACAAGTTGCCTGTTCCCAGGCACAGGAAGGAGACACTGAAACATACACACACACACAGGCACCCAGGCCAAATTCCCAGTTTGCCATCACTGTTCCCAACCAGACAACAAATGCAATGTTATTGTTCCTTAAAAACAGGATGGAACAGTTTTGCCTGAGCTTCTTGGTTTGGGCCCAAGTTGACGGTGGACAGAGCCAGGACCACGTTTCCATATTATACAGGTGTTCTTGAAGACTCTCCTCTGTGGCTCTCAGAGACGCCAGCAGCCATCAAAGAAGAGGAAAGAACCGTTCCTGGAATGGATGCTGGCCTAAGGGCACTCCCATCATGCAGAACTAGAACTGAAGACCTTGGCAAAGGAGTGGGCCTCCCCTGGGCTGGTAGAACCCTGTCTCCAATGAGCATGGTTTTGCACAGGCAAGAGAGGGCTCGCTCAGCCACATCCCCCAGACACATCTGTACAAGGTCTCCACTGCCTCCCACCTCCCTCCTCCAAGTCAAAGTTGCTCAGTCATGTCAGACTCTTTGTGACCCCATGGACTATACAGTCCATGGAATTCTCCAGGCCAGAATACTGGAGTGGGTAGCCTTTCCCTTCTCCAGGGGAATCTTCCCAACCCAGGGATGGAACACAGGTCTCCCACACTGCAGGCAGATTCTTTACCAGCTGAGCCACAAGGGAAGCCCAAGATTACTGGAGTGGGTAGCCTATCCCTTCTCCAGTGGATCTTCCTGACTCAGAAATCGAACCAGGAATTTTCTGCATTGCAGGCAGATTCTTTACCAATTGAGCTATCAGGGGAGCCCTCCTCGAAAGTGGCACCATTTTTGAAGTTTTGCTTGCTTGCTAAGATGTTTCAGTCATGTCCAACTCTCTGTGACCCCATGGGCTGTAGCCTGCCAGGTTCCTCTGTCCATGGAATTCTCCAAGCAAGAATACTGGAGTGGGTTGCCATTTCATCCTCCATGAATCAAACCAGCATCTCTTACACCTCTTGCATTGGCAGGTGGGTTCTTTTCCCATGAGTGCCACCTGGGAAGCCCCATTTTGAAGTTTAAATGATGATGAACGACACTGGCCTCCAATCCCTGCCCTTTACCAGGGAGGCCCAACCTGCTTCAGACATCAATATATGAAGGGTCTTCAGCTGAACAACCTAGAACTCAGAAGTGAGGCAGTATTCCTTCAACACCCCCACCTCCCTGCCCCAAATCAGGACAGCAGACAAGCTGAATGAAAGCTCCCCCGCCCCTCCCAAACTGCAGATGGAGGCTGCAAAGATGACAGTTTCAAACGCATGCTTTCAATTACCAGTGATGTAGAGAAAGCTCTGCAAGTAAATCCTTTCCATTTCCACCACCAAGCTGAACCCAGAAGCTTCCCATCGATGTCAGACCTCTCCAAGGTGGGGACACCTGGTCCAGGACGCATGCCAACAACAGGGTTTGTTCTACACGTCTTTCAAGAAGTACCACACCTACGATCACGATTCAGAACCAGTCCATAAACACTCCCCAGGCCCCAAGCACACATCCTCAAGGAGAAGCTGTCTGTCGTTCACCGACGCCCGTGTGAGAGGGACCCAGGCCCACCCCGAGCCTGCCCACGGGCATCTGCCCACTCATGTGTGTGTGCACGGGATCGTCTATCTGTACGTCTGCAGCCCACACACACGCGTGCATGCGCGCACACGCACGCACACACACACACACAACCAGGCACCGAGCAATCCATCTGTCTCGAAGAGCCGGCTGTCAGAAATGAAAGTACAATCTCCTGGAACCGAGTCACAGCCTTCTAAAAATGTGTGCCGTTTTCCCAGACTGAGGAAACTTGCAGGGGTGGGGTCTGTTTCGCCGAGTCCCAGAGGCCCGGGCCTGTGTCTCACCGGCCAGCCCTGCGCTGCGCGGCTGGAATTCCAACCTGCAGCCAGCGGGCCGGCTCCCAGCACTCCTGCCCGCCCACTCCCCTTCCTTGCAGGAAAGGGAAGGGCCAGCCTTGGAGTCACCCCGGCATCTCAGGAGGGGCGTGCCTTCGAGCATACCCCCCACCCCCACCTCTGAGGCACCACGTTTTCACACCACTGTTTTTCCTTTCCCTTCTTCCCCTGCCAAGAGAATCAAGCCCTGGCTCCCGCTGCCGACCTTCCTCCCGCCCTAAACTGAGCCCCATTCATTAAGCCCGCTCTCAGCCAGGGCAGGACAGGAAGGAAAACAGCACATGGGGGCCTGTGAAGGAGACACTCAGAGAGGTGATTTCCAGGGGGAGGTGGGGGCAGGGGCGTGTGGGCGCTTTTCCTGCGCCCCACCTTGATGCCCACTTGGCCTAGCCCTCAGCACGGCAGGCACGCCCCCTCCAGCCTTCTTCCCCTGCCTCATTCAGCCAACGCACCCCCTCACCCCGCAACTGGCCTCATCCTGGCCACCCCCACCCCTACCACCCCCCATGGAAAGATCAACTTCTTGGAAAGGAGGAGGTTTGGGCATTCTCCATTTGCAAAACCCTCCACCTTGGACCTGGGCCACTACAATCATCTTTTGCAGGGGGGAGTGGGGGGCGGGAGAGGGCATTCTCACTTCAGAGATGGGAGCCCTGGGTTTTCTCAGCGCCCATCGCCTCCCCTCCAGATACCCCCAAACCACTGGCAACAACCCAAGAAACAGTTTCTTCAATTTCCCCCCACAGCACATTATTAATAAACCGCTCCAACTCTGAACGGAAAGAAGAAAGAGCTCAAACTTTGAAGCCTTGGGAATTAGTAAATCAAGAGCTAAAATTCAAAACAAATGCTCTTTCATGTGGAGCCCCCCCATCACTTTTTTTTTCTTTTTGCAGTTCCCTTGAACCATGCTAGCCCTTTAGAGACAAGCATTCCTTCCTAGCAGCTCCTCATTCATCGAAATGGCTGCAGTTACTATGGGGGGTGGGGGCTGGGGGGGTTCATCATTGCTTTACCCCCAGTTTCTTTCCAGGACTAGAAAAACTCTTGGAAGCCCACCCATCTCAGAAGGGGCTGCACTGTGACACTGTTTGGCTCTGGGGCTGGGAAAGGAGGCTGGTGGCCCAGGCTGGTGTCGTCACTTCCTCCAGCAGAGAAGACAGACAAGATGTTATCAAGAAGACAAACCTTCTGAAAAGACCCCTTTCAAAAGCTACCACTTCCCTTGCTTATTTCATGTGGTTCGGAGGGGCTGGGACTCCTCCTGCACATTCAGGATTTAAAAAATAAAACCATCTAACAACATCCTGAGCGCGCGATTTTGCCCAGACCCTTTCCTCCTCCTTGGCCTTCTTTCTTTCCGGAACCCTCTCAGCCTTAGAAAGCAGAAGAGACGCAACTCATACATCCCTGTATGTTCTTCCCTCCTCCACCCCCATGGTGCACGCTCATCCTCACGCTCCCTAGCCCCCTGCCCTCTCTGGGTTCCTCTTTTTTCCTGCTCAGCTCTCATTAGGAGCTTTGAATAAACAATACCCTCTGTCTCAGATAACAGCCAGAGTATATACTGTGCTGAAATCAAAACAAACAAGGGTCTCCCTGAAGACATTCTCGGCAAGATCAATTCCTGCAGCGGGAACTGGCTGGGAGGAACCGAGACCGACCGCTGACCAGTGAGAAGTCCCCTCTCAGAAGCGTTTTATAGCTTCCATCTGAGGTGCCACGATCCTACCTATGCGGATGTCCCAAAGGCAAATGCCCAGAACCCTACTGGATTCTCTTTTCTCCCCCAGGTTGCTTTCCCTCTTGTTTTAGCTAGTTGTTAGAAAATCCTGTGATGGCATGCATACTGGGGTGGGAAAAGCAGGTGGAAACAGGACATCTTTAGAACAAAATGGAAATGTCTCCCACTTACATTGCTAATGAGCATCTCCAAGTTTATCACTCTCTTCTCCTGTCTCTCAGGGATAGGGATGCTCGGGCTACCCAGTGCCCCTCACCCAATTCCATAACCCTCCAACCGGGGCAAATTCCAGGCCCCTTGCTCACACCCATGGGTCCTCAGGGACACCTTCCCTGCCGGCTCACAGTGTCAGCGCCTACCATCTGCAGTGACCCATCCATCCACCCCCAACACGCACTGTAGACTCCGGCCGGAAGCTCGACCAGGAGGCAGGATGGGCAGGGAAGCCCCGAGGTCATCTTCTCTAAATGCCCATCCTACACCCGGGATCTGTCCTCTACAAGTTTCCAAACGATGGATCCCCTCCTTTCAAGGCACCTGATGCACTGAGAGAGCAAAGAGAAGAGCTTAAACCCAAGAACTAAGAACACCAGAGTCACCAAGCGGAAGCCCCTCCAGCCGGGAGCTGCTTAACAACAACCAAGAAACACAGCTCACACCCTTGCGGCCCCCATTTCCACATCTATGGAGCGGCCCAGGACCTCGAGCTGAAGGGCGACGGGAGTCAACGAAGATACATCCAGTTTAATGCACATAAAAGCGCGGATTAACTCCAGACCAGCTGTGGCGGCAGAAGGCCACCTCCGGTCCTCCAAAATCTCCAATCATTTCAGGAGGCCTTGGAATCCCCGGGAAAATAAGAGAAAAGCGTCTCACCTGAAAGCCCCCCAGGGGCCAGATAATTCGTTCCCCCTGTTTCAGCGGAGGAAGGCACAGCATCTGGACAGTCTGCTGTGGATTTGAGAAGGAGAGAGAAATAAATACATAAATAAATAAATAAGTACACCAAGATTAATTTTTAAGCACATTCTGAGCAGCATTAAAGAGAAACCACACATTCCAAACGGCTGACTCCCAGCCGCGATGCTGATTATTAATGCGATGCTCAGGCTTTGCTACCCATCATGAGACAGACCACAGCACCTTGTCACCCGTCTGGGCTCCGGGCAGCCAGTTAATCATTCGTCAAGTCAGACTCGATCACAGACTGGCTGGAATTTTTTCTTTTATTGCAAGTCCTCCATTGAGGAAACCAGGTAGTCCCCAAGGTCAAACAAAGGAGGCCCGGGTTCCCTCCCAGCCACCTTTCTCGGAGAAAGATCAAGGGCATGGCCTCTTTGCTTGGATCCAGTGGCCCTCGCCACCACTCTCACCTGTTTACAGACACACTTCCCAGTTCCTTAAGAAAGGGGTGTTGGGCTGAAGGGACTGCGTTTCCCTTGCTAATAGCGGTAGAGTAAGTGCAAGAAAATCTCAAGTACAACTCAAAGAATCTTATTCATGTACACACCTGGGTGATGCCCCCTCAAGTCAAGAGAACAGAGAACATTCTCAGCAAGACTCCCAGCTCCTTCCAGACCTAATCCAAAAACTTCCCTTGTGTGGAAACCTTCCCAGGTAACCCCAGACCTGCAAGGTTCCCTGCCCTCCGTCCCTATAAAAATCTTTCTGGCACCCAGCACTTGCGGAGTTGCCTTCCACTGTCTTTCCTGATCTTTCACCTTCAGATCCTGTCTGCTTGAACTAGTCTATAACCTTCTCTTCAATGTCTCCGTCACCCTCCGGTGCTCAGCATAGTGACCTAAATGTTAATGAGAATAATGATGATTCCAGCTGAGAAATAGACAGACTCCACAACCTCCCTCCAAGCAATTAAAACAAAAAAATAATGGCTACGGACCACAACTAATTAGTCCCATGAAACAAAAATACACAAGACCCCATAAGTGTATCGGGCATCACTGCCAATGCCAAACTTAGGAAATCCACAGAGAAAAGGCCAGTCAGGAAAGGAGCATCCTGGCTCCAAAGCAGTCACACTGCGTCAGATGGTGCAAATCCCAGACCCTCCTTCTCCAGGTCACTAGCAGGACGTCCATGGAGTGTGCATTACCAGCTTCCCACTGGAACCGCTTAGCCAAGATGGCAAATAGGAAGCCAAGGGAAAGAGGAGCCCAGAGGCAAGCAGCCATGGTGCTTTCCAGGGACCTAGCAGCTGTCTCCATTCCCTGGGTAAAATGGGGCTGGGGCTGGGCCTGCCCCCCTCCCACCCCATCCCAAGTCTCAGGTTCTCTAATCCTGCTCTTGCATTCTCTCTCAGGTTGGAAGAACAACTTTCCAAGAATTCTTCTCCACAGGGGAAGGGTGGGCCGAGGAGTGGCAGCATCAGGCAAGGGAGACAGAAAAGACCGTGTGGGTAATCTCATTGTATCAGGGTAAAGTTTAATTCCTAACAGGAATATACAGTGTTACAGGATACACTTAATCAAATGGAAAACAATAGGGGCAGGCAGGAAATGGAGTTGCTGGTTAAAGCGTGTATACCCTGCACTTTCCAAACTACTCCGACGGCCTTCACCCTGATGGAGAGACAGGCTCCCCCCGAAACGCAAGACACCCCCACACATTTAAACACGATGACTTCTCTGCGGCCAGCCCCTGCTGCCCCCAGCTCTGGCTGGCTGAATCCCAGGGGCAAGGTGTGTTTCAAAGGAAGAGCCCGACATCTCGGGGTGGAGCTGCGACCGCGATGAGGGCTGTCAGCCGGCCTCAGATCAAAGGTAAGCCAGCTCCACACCGGCAACCACAAGCGTTTCTATGAAATGGTGCTCTGCCCTTTGTGCAGCGCCTTTGATCTCAGGAGGGATTTACAAACATTAATTAGGTCTCCCTACCACCTCAGTGAAGGAGCAAGGTATACCTGTTTGACATGCACCCAGGTAAACTGAGGCGTCACTGAGTAGCCCAAGGGGGCACCCGGTGAGCTGGGCCCTACCCAAGGGCTCAGCCCTCTCCTCCCCAGCAGGCCTCACTCTCTTCCCTGCAGGTAGTCGGGCTGAGACAGTCTTCAGCATCATCTAGGTCCTGCCAGGATAGTAAAGGGCCAAGAGGCCACACCTCCGTCTCTCACCCACAAAAGAGCTTCGCTGCGATAGCTCTCCCAAGTCAGGGTGTCAGCTTCTGCTGCTCCCCAGAAGTGCTGGGTTCTGTGGGAGACTCATTTCCCTCTCTCAGAAGCAAGAGAGCCCTTGAAGATGTGTGCCTGGAATGAGCTGCACAAGGGATACAAGGTGACAAAGCTGGGGACCCCCTCTTCTCTCAAAGAATGGTTTCCCCACAGCCAGCATTGTCTTGTCAACTTAGTTCTGAGCTTCCTAAGTATCATCTGGCACAGAGGAGTCCCGCCACCACCACTATACCCTAAGCTCTGCCCCAACCTACAGCCCTGGTTACAGAACAAACCAGTGCATCGGAATCATCAATGCATTTTAGGCAGGCACATCATCAGGCCTGTAGAATGACTGAATGAATGAACAAACCAATAAATGAGTGAATGAATGCATCATCTAATTGCTTCGATCATTTCTAGATTTAAAAACAGGCCTGGAAAACAGTGGCCTGAGTTAAAAAGTAGATGCAGGGCAAGGTCTCAGACTAGGCTTTGGAGGCCTGACCTGCCAAGAGGCACTGGTCACCTGGGTCCCTTGCCTAAGCAAGGAGCATATACCCAGCAACATCACCCCCGCTCCCACCCCAAGACATTCTTCAAATAGTTCAGACCTTCAGATACAGAGGAAACAGGAAACAGAGCCCACACAGCATCCCCACTCCATAAACTGGGATCTCATCCTACAAGCCTGCTCTCACCCCTGGTGTGATGACGGTGGAGAGGTGCCATGATTTCCGAAAGCCTCATGTCACAGACACCCTGCTCCTTCATTCAGCCATGGCAACCGCCCCTTCCCAGAAGCTCCTGCTGACTTTGAACCACCTAGCACTCAGGTCTACCAAAGCCAGGCCATCCCAGAGGCTGCAGTGGAACAGCTTGAACCACAGCAAACTGGAACTCCCAACTTTTAGCCCTGGCATTCCTCCAAAGGCTTCCCTGGGGGCTCACTCCGTAAAGAGTTCGCCTGCAATGTAGGAGACCGGGGTTCGATCCCTGGGGCAGGAAGATCCCCTGGAGAAGGAACTGGCAACCCACGCCAGTGTGCTTGCCTGGGAAATCCCATGGACAGAAGAGCATGGCGGGCTACAGTTCATTGGATCGCCAAGAGTTGGACACGACTTAATGACTAAACCACCACCACCAGTTCCTCCAGAGGCCGCAGAGGGACCAGGCCCCAACCCCTCCCCACGGCCTCTGCCCATGCTGGACACTTCGCAGAAGAGATTCCCTTAGTTGTGCAACTGGTTAAGATTTTAATAATGTTCCATTGTAAACCTTATGGCTGGTTCTCACCTAGTAACCCAAGGCCAAAAATTCAACCTGGACTCGGAAACTTTACAATGTGAGCAGCTGATCTAAATTCCGCAGCCAAAAACTCTCCGCAATGTACAAGGCAAAGAGAAAGCTGGGGCAGCATCTCATCTGTGTGGCTGACCTCGGTGCCCCTGGCCAGTGCAGCCAGCAAAGCCAGCCCTGGCTGTCCTCCAATGTGCCAGGAGACTCCACGGGGGCTTTCATTAGCTCCCTGGTGTCCTTACAGCAGGATGGTACTTCTCATTACTCTTTTTTAAATTCCAGGGTTTGCTGGGTTTGGGGGGGGGGGGGGGGCTACTTTTCTGTTTGTTGTTGTTGTTGTTCTGTTTTACACAAACATTTTGGGTGAGTAACCAGCTGTCTGAGTTTCCGATTGGCAGGTTAATCACTTCCTATTGGCTGATCCGGACAACTTTTCTCCCCCTTGGAAATGGCGCATTCCTGTCTTTGTGGCTTCTCTGTTTACACACATTTTGCTACCTAATGTCAACACTTGCTAATGAATAAATATATCACTCCACTCACTGAAAATGAGGTCCTGGCCTAAGACGGTGAGTGCTTGTATCCGGTGGACAGAGCTATCCACTATCTCTGCAGGAAACCAAACAGAACGTGGGCCTTCTTTCCTATGGTTTTAGCAAGTCTCTCAGAACAGTTCCCCAGTCGTCTTTAAGCCTGGGGCCAAGATGACTGGGCTCTCTCTCTCTCTCTCTTTTAAGGAAAACCTCCACATTTGAAGACTACGGAAGGAAAAACAAAAAGCAGGAGAGAGAGGGCCCCTTGGAGAACTAAGCTCATAAAAGAATTCTTGAGTCTTGATGCCAAAAACCCAGTCAAGTTACATTCTTGGAGAAAACAGACCTTGGTAATCTCAGTTAACGTTTGTTACAAATACAGAGCTGGTTTATCTCCTCATTAATGACCATTTATCTGGTGTTTTGTAAATCGAAAGCAAAATATCATATGCTTCGCAGGCCACTTATTAGACAGGCACCAGGCAAGCAGCAACGCCTTCCGACTGGAGGGAGTGTGGAGTCAGGGAGGGCTGGCTGGAGACCATGGGCTTCGCTTACACCATTCATTAAAGTATTTAATTTAGGACAACGCCCCAGCAAAACTTTTAATTAGTGGGGGGAAAGGCCCAACAGCCAAAACTCATGAGGCGGAAGGACCTGTAGAATTCCAAGAGGAAAATGGGGCCCAACCCTTGATTTTTCCTTCTCCCAGAACCATGGCAAAATAAGACTGTCACAAGCACTGCATTTCTCAGGCACCGGTAGAGACCACAGTTACAACTCAGACTTGCAGACACAGGAACCTCCCCGCTGTAAGAAGGGGCTCCAGGAAACAAGGACCCATCGGATCTGCCTCCCAGCTTTGCGGTCCCTCCTCCCTCCTCCCCTGCACTGCCAGCCAGAAGCTGAATGCAGACAAATGCAACAGGGCTGGTGCCAGCCTCAAGTGGGGCTTCTGCCCTGGCTGAATGCCATCCAGTGACAAAGCGACAGGCAGGCAGAGCTATGCTAAACACTTTTATGGCCCCCACTAGGAATTCTGAGAAAACTAGGGGGGGAGGGAGTTGTTGCCTTTACTCCTTAAATTTTCTATTCTCTTGCTCCAAACCGAGGTCATCTTTACACTTTTCTAAACACAGTCTTCCTTCCCATCGGGCTCTCCAGTCTCCCCACTGATACTTCTGGCACTCAGAGTCTCCCACGTTTCCCATCACCCTGTCCCATTTGGCTCCCTAGACACTTCTGCATGGACCAGAGTCCACGCGTTGAGTTGAGCCAGCTTGGGTTATGGGATGCAAATACAAGAAAAAAAGGAACAAAATGGAAAGCATACCTAAGAAACATCTTTGCAAAAAGAAAAATATATATGTGTATACACACACACACACACACACACACACACACACACACACACACAACCTCCAGGTCCAGTCACAACAAAAAAAAGAAAAAGAAAAAAAAAATCCACCAAACTGCCAACAGAGGAAACCTATAACCACCTCAGGGCAAGTCCAGCGTCTCCCCAAGCCGCTGCCTAGACACACAAATCCGCGTTCTACAGCCTCCATTTCTAACTTAAGACAGGAAGGATATTTTTAAAATCAGCTACTCACCAGTTGGTTTGAGAAAATCCATCGGGTATCTGGAGTAAGGAGGAGGGGGAGACTCTGGAATTAAAAAAGAAAGAGAAAATAAAGGCCGAGCTCTGAGAGAGAGAGATAGAAACTTATGATAACAGAGGCATTCTTTTAGCCCAACTGTTTGTCTTAGCTGTGGGGGTTGGAGGCAGGGCCGCGAGGCGGTGATTGCCTTGATATTTAGCTGTCAGATAAACAAAAGAGGCCGCCTGGCGCCAGCCTCGGCGCGGCGCTCCTCCACGTCTGCGGCCGTCGCCGCCGCGCTCGGCCGGCCCGGCTGCAAACCGCCGGCTCGGCCGCCGCTCGGCCGAGGCCGCCGCACATCGCAGTTCACGGGGCGGGGGGCGACGAAGCCCCCCTCCCCCTTCGCGTCCCAGAACTTCAGACACTGCTCCCTCCGCCCCTCCGGCCCCAGCCCCGACCCGTCCCCCCGGGGCGCAGTTCATCTCCGCCACCGCCGCTGCGCCCCGCACCCGCGCGGGGAACACGGGCTTCCCCCTTGCCCAGCTCCCCCGGAAGGTGCACCCAAGGGCTCTGGGGAACTTGGATCGGTAGGCGCCCGAGGGGAACTCCGCCCCCGCACAAAGAGGCAGAGAAAAGGGATGCAATGGAGAAGCATGGAAGCCTACAGGAGGACCCCGGGGTCTCAACTGAGGAGCCCAGGGCCCAGCGCAGTAGTCTGGGGGCAAACCATCCGACGGTCGGTTACAGTGCTCTCTCTTCTGCGCTGATAGAAAGTAGGGGGCACCCAACTTCCCCTGATTGCCGGTTCTCTCTCACACCGGGCTGGCGGAGCTGGGAGCAGGTACCCAGCTCGGCCTCCTATTCTGCTCTCTCTGCCTCAAAACCCAAAGCTGCGCCGGCCAGGGCAGGCTCCTGGCCCCTTGCGCCCGACGTGACGCTCCCCCTCCCTTCCTAAAGGGGAGTCTTCCTCTCCAGCCTTTACTACCGGTTCTCCGAGCCTTCCTTGGCGGGCTTGGACCGAATCCAAATCGGCCACACACCGCAACGCAGTTCTCCTTGCGGGGGAGATGCGACCCCCTCCCCCCACTTCTCTCTACACCCCCTTGGCTGATCCGGAAATAACCCCATGCCTGCAGAATGTGGGCATGAACGAGTAGGGCCCTGAGCAACACACCCCCCCCCCCCCGCCCTTGGGGCCACCGAGGAGAGAAAACTGGAAGGGAACCCCGAGGGAATGCCTTTCCAGTTTCCCCGGGTCCCCTCTCCACCTTTGTCCCCCAAATCTCCTCCCAGGAGGCAATGTACACACACCCCTCCGGCGAGGTGGCTACACTAACCCACAGCCCAATCGGGCTTTTCTTCCCCCGACCTGAGTGCCGGGGGGAGGGTGGGGCACGCGCGGGTGGGCGCGGATCAACTTCTTACCTAGTTCGCAGAGTCGGCTAAGGTGATGGGGGTTGCAGCACACCAGCTCGGGGTTGATCTTCCCGTAAGATTCACAGCAACACAGCCTCTTGACTTCCGAGGAATGCCTGAGATCCGGCCACCTGAACACTTTGCACAGCAGGAGGGGGAGCGAGTAGGTGGAGGGCGGCTGCGCCGGCTGAGAGCCGGCGGGAGCCCCCAGGCCCAGCCTGCAGTCCAAGCGGCCGGGCAACAAGAGGCACGCGGTGCGCGTACCGCCGCGGGACTCCACGGCCTGGAGCAGTAGCTCCAGCTGCCGTTCCTTCAGTTTCTTGAGCACCGAGTGCGTGAGCGCTTTCAGATCCGCCTCGCCTCCCCCGGCCGCGCCGGCGCCCGCGGCTGGGGGGTGGGGATGGTGGTGACCTTTGGCACCTCGCACCGCCTTGCCCAGGCAGCAGACAGCCCTGCCTGCGCCGCCGCCGCCGCCGGCCCCATGCGCCCGGCCGTCCGTCGCCCCTTCTCCCCGCAGCTCGCCTCCTCCTCCGCCTCCCCCCGCGCCCTCCTCCTCGTCCTCGCCGCCGGGCGCACGGCTCCTCCAGAGACGCCGGACGAGCGCAGATCGTTTGGTCCTGAACATGCGGGGCGAGGAGGCGAGGAGAAAAGTCGTTGGCCGGCTAAGGAGCGAACATGACCTCCGCACACCATGAAGAAGTCGGGCGCCGAGTTGGGGCAGCAGGCGCAGGCGACAGCAGCAGCAGCAGGGGCCCTGGCAAGAGCGGCGGCGGCCCGAGGGGCGCTCCGTGGCATGCGCCAGTCTCCCGGAGGCCGGAGCGCGCGCGGGGGCCCGGGGGCGCCCGCCGGGGCTCGGGGGCCTGCGCTCCGGCTGCCCCACCCCGCGCGGCCGGCGCCGTGCGCCGCTCTCGGGCCCCGGCGCACCCCGGAGGAACGCGGCCGCCGCTTCCCTGGGGGCGGCGAAGCCTACCCGGGTCGGCGCCTCCCCAAAAAGAGGCCCCCCCGCAGCGGCTCCCGAGTGTCGGGCTCGCCAGCCTCGGCTGCCTACATGGAAGATCCGCGGCGGCAAAAAACGAAAGGCGTTCGGCAGGGCTGCTGGAGGGAGGAAAAAGCCTCTTACCCCCTTGCTAAGCAACTTAATTTGGGGGTGGGGAGAAGCAGGCAATTAAAAAAAAAAAAGCAGGCACGCGATTTATTTTTTTCTTCTATATCCTTAGTAACCGGATCTCCTTGAATTCCGTGCACACGAAGACTCGGGGGAGGGGGCTGAGTGGACTTCACCCCACATGAGATGTCTGGCGAAATAAGGAGGCTCTCTCAAAATCTAAGAATCAAACATGCAAAGCCCCAAATGAAAAACACCACCTCCTCACACCCCGGAGGTCTGGGGGCGTCCGGCTGGAGCTGGGGTTTAAAAAAAGAAAATGTTTACAAAGTAGAACGAGACGTTTGAGGGGTGGAAGAAAAAAAAAAACGTATCCACGAGTTACATCCCCCTTTTTTCCTTGCAGAGCCCCGCTGGTCTTCCTCTCCTTTTCTTCTGCCAAGAAAAAAAAGATCCTATATATATATTTTTAATCCACAGAAAGCTTTGGCTAGGCTGCTTCAATCCTTCGCATCTGGGTGGTTTAGGGGAGTCTCTGGCCTTTCCTCTTGCGCTCCCGGGGGCCCCGGTCGTCGGCGGGGACTTCCTTGGGGCTGGCGGGGGCGCAGGGGCAGAAGATGCTGCGGCGGCGGCGGCTGCGCCCCGCGGGGCTGACAGCGCGGGGGAGGGCGGCGCGGCGGCCGCGGCGGGCCCCTGGCGGGCGGCGCGCTCTCGCCCTCTGCTCTCTAGCGCGGGGGCCGCCGGCGCNGCCCGGGTCTGCAGAGGGGGGACCGATATGGGGCGGGGGCGGGGGTGGGGGTAGATAAAGGTGGGGAGCAGAGAAGCTCCCGCGATCGACGGAGACCTGGCGGAATCAGAGGAGAAATGGGAAGACCCAAGAGCACCGATCGGGCACCGTCGGCGAGTTTTGGAGCGAAGCGAGCGGGCCAGTGGCCGGATTTAGACCCAGCCCGCGGAGCCTCGCGGGGGCTGTCCCGCGCGCGCTCGCCCTAACGCTTCATTCATTCGTTTTGTTTTAAAGGCCCTGGCGACGGATCCTCTGGCCGCCGCGCGGGAGGGAAGGGGGAGGAGAGCGCTGTCTCCGCGTAAAAGACATTTACACCGGACTGGACCGAGGCCCTGGGAAGTGCGCGCTGAAGGGAACAGCCGGCCCGCGAGGGCCGGGAGGCGGCGCGAATGTGACCTCAGCGGCGGCCGCGCGCTCCCTCCCGCCCTCTCCCGCTCGGGGCTCGGGTTTCTAGGACTGCCTAGAGAAGTGTGTCTTGTGCAAAGCTCTGGAATGCATTTGGCTGCCTGACGAGTTGCGAGGGGCAGCATCTTGCCGGGAGGTGGCGGGGGTGTGTGTGTGGGGGGCGGTGCTCGCCCGCCCGCCGCGGGCAGGTTTCCTCCGGAGCCCGGAAGACCTCCGCCACTCCGCCTCCCGGCGCGGGAAGGTTACCTTCCGAGCAGACCTGCATGCATATGCATGCGGGGCCTGTGTCTTCGCCTTCCTCGGCCCCGTAGCTTTCTGCGGTGCTTAGAGTCAGAGAGTTTATCCCCTTACCCCGGGCTTTAGAGAAAGCGTAGACCCACCTGGCCGACTGGTGCATAGACACTGTAAGGCGTTGATGGGGCAAAGCACCATATAGAGTTTACTTCGTGAAAGCGGTTGGTGCTGAGAAGCGTCATGATTTAAATGTATAAGCGTCAGTATCGAGGAGGCCACTAGTTGGCATGGTGGTCTAACCTCACATCTTATTCAGTGAAATAGTTTTTTTTTAAGTCATTTAGAATTGTGAGGTCAGGATGACACTCAAACTCACTGGGGATTTTAATGAATTTTTTTAATGAATCTTTAAAAAAAAGGTGAAATGAACTATTTTCATTTTCTCAGCTAAATTATGCCCATTTAAAAGGAAAAGTTACCAAAAAAAGGAAAAAAGTAATAAAAGGAAAAGGCCCTGATGAACCTCAACTCAGCCCCTTCCCTTCCAGCAACTTAAAAGCTGACTGCATGCTATAGATGCTTAATAGCTATTTAGGAATCAACAGAGTTGGATAGATAGGTATTTGGACCTTCTCCCCCTACCCCAACCCACCAAGAGCACCTTTGGAGAAATGTGATAATATAATATTATACATCATATAATATATAAGGGAGAAAATCATTATCATCTCTAAGCAAGGGGCCCTGAAGCTCATTGACCTAGAAGAGCCAGAAATGCCAAGCAGGGCAGAAAGGTGTGGAACAGGGCAGCAGCTGGGATTCTAAACATTTATTCTGTAAGCCACATAGGCTGCAATTGTATAAGATCATGGTTTTGTTACAATTAAAAATAGTGCTGGGCTTCCCTGGAGGTCCAGTGGCTAAGACTCCATGCCCCAATGCAGGGGGCCTACAATTGATCCCTAGCCAGGGAACTGGATCCAACATGCCTCAACTAAGAGTTTGCCTGCCAAGACTGAACGATCCCACATGCAGCATCTAAGACCCAGTGCATAAATATTTTTTTTAAATACATAAATTTAAAAAATATATATTGCTTATTGAAAAGGGCATTGAGACCTGTGTGTGTGTGTGTGTGTGTGTGTGTGTGAAACTTTCTGAACAAGCAACCTACAAAGATAGCAGCAGAGAAAGCCCAGGAAAAAATGGGTTATCCCACTATCATAGGCAAAAGAGGTAGAAATGGGATTTTGGAGGTATCTGAGAAATGATACACTCACCTCAGAAAGGCTTAGAAAGAATGCCAAACTAGAAGTCAGAAAACCTGATTCCTGCCTGGGACTCTGCCATGCGTGCGTGCTCAGTCGTGCCCGACTCTTTGTGACCCCATGGATTGTAGCCCGCCAGGTTCCTCTGTCCATGGGATTTCCCAAGCAAGAATACTGCAGTGGCTTGCCATTTCCTTCTCCAGGGTATCTTCCTGACCCAGGGATCGAACCCACATCTCCTGCATCTCCTGCATTGGCAGGTGGATTCTTTACCACTGAGCTCCCTGGGAAGCCCCTGGGTCTGTGCCATTCACTGATTAGATAACTTGCACTAGAGGTGATCCTCACATTAGAAGAGCACTTGGCAAGATTTAAAAAGGTTTCTGGGTAAGTTTCCTACTCTCTCAGGGCCCCATTCCCACTCTCTGCTCTGGGCATCGCTCGAAGATGTTCACTTTCCTGGCAAGGCTACGCCAGGCTGCAGAGTGACAAGGAGGACTTAAATAAGCAGTGAAAGCAAAAGGCATAATTCTGCTTAAGCTTCTTGGCTACATAGAGAACCTGATGATTCTGGGAGATCTGGCCAGTGGTGCTCACACTTTGGGATGCGAGGCTGGAGCACACACAGGGCAGATAGATTTAGTGGGTGTTTCAGAAGTCAAATCTGACGTCACAACTTGTCTGGGAGGAACATGCATATACTTGCAAAGATATGTTCCCATATAGTGTAATTGTGGGTGCTTTAATTCAGGCGTCACTCCTGTCTTACACTCTCTGCATGGCTTTCCTCCTCCATTTTACTGCCCTAGGTAGACAGTGGGTGGGTTGCTGGGCAAGTACCTACAGTGGCTAGTGCTGCTTTATAGCTCCTTGGCATCCCCTGAATCAGTTAACATCCCAAGCTTTCCTGAGAGCCAGCCCCACCCCGTTCACATTCTTATTCTTTTCCTTTCCAAGAAAGAAGCTGGACTGTAGAGGAACTCCTGGCTGGCTAGTGTGCCTAGAAAGGGAGTTCCTTTCCTTTCCTTTCCATGGGCACAAATGAAACCAACAAGCACCCAGTTTCAAACTATTCTAATCCTTAAAAAAAAAAAAAGTTTAGGAGCTCACCAAACTATTGTGAATGAGTTTGATTTTAATCACTTGCTGGCAGGGAATATGGAATAAAATATCTCATTTGCAGTTGTTTATTTCCTGTTGTGGCTTCTATTTTCATCTTTTAGTCACTTTGGTGATAGTAATCAAACCCTAATCATGGTGCGGCCACAAGTCACAGAGACCAAAATAACTTGCAACGGAGTTAGGACAAACAAGGATGGAGTCAGCTAAAGACCTGGCTACTTAATCACTGGCCCCTGGCACCCGAAGGACTGTGGGGGCCGCATTTGACCGACCGCTGGCTAAGCATCTAGAGGAGGGAGGAAGCTGGAGAGAAATTGCTCCAAGGTCCGTGGTCTTGGGCAGTCAGGGCCCCAGGGTGCGAGAGGAAGGAGAGCAGCAGAGTATATACAGGAAGTGGAGGAGAAACAGGTGAACTGTCCACAACTGCCGGGGGGAAACTGACACGAAAGAGAAAGAGGAGAACAGAAAAAGAGAACTGGCAAACCCTCTAGAGCTACAAGCAACTAAGCAAACACTGAAATAAACAAATAAATACCTCGGGGAAGGCAGGATTCCTCCTTTCAGGACTTTTCTCACGTTCAGTGGTTCCTGGAAAAGACAGGTCAAGAGAGGCCCCAACGGGCAGGTGGGTGTGTCGGTGTTGGGGCCAAGGACCAAGGCAGGGATGAGGATTTTTCCTTGCAGAAACCAAAGAAGAAACAATTGAAGAGGCAAAAAAAAAAAAAAAAGTGTTGAAAATTATCGACATTTCTTGTGCAACTGTCCCCTGAAAAATGTGTGTGCCTTCAACCATCCTGAACTGGCAGTAATACAACTGGAAGTGATGGCTCATGAAAGA